GACTAAATAAATAAATGATAAATATAAAGTTAACGATAAATGCAACGAAAACCGGTATAACATTAACAATAGCAACAATAACAAAGAACAGTCAAAATCAGCCTGTGCAATTCTTTTCAAATACTGGTAGGCCTATATACATTTTTATTAACGATAACGATAAACAACAATAAAGACAATACCAATAACAAAGGCAATTACAAAATAATAGACAAAAAACTAACAATAACAATGATAATAATATTAATAATAATTAATAAGCCTGTAATATTAATGTCAATTAATAAAATAATAAATAGGCCTATTAAGTAATAATATCAATTAAAATTTAAAATAATTTTCCGTCGGGTAGGTAAAGATTACGTTCCTAGTTCTACGTCCTATATATTTTCCTAGGAATTTTGTCGACTCATTCACTGTTTCGCGTAAACTGAAGTAATCCAGTGTGGACGTGTGCCAGAAACTAAATCACGGCTCGTTACGCTATCTCTGTGTCCTGTAATTAAATTTGCCGCGATGCTCCTTGAGCGGATCGGCCTAGGCCTGCCCTCCTGTAGGTCCCGAGCCTGGATATTGGTATTGATGTTGTAATTATTAATCATAAAATCGTTTAGGAAAAAAAAACTGATGCGACGTCTGTGAGTCTGGAAACTATACCCCGTGGAAATTAACCTTTGAGATATAACAAAAATATTTATCTAAGATAGCATGATTTAGTGTGAGAAAATTATGATTAGAGATAAATATACACGACCTCGTTTTGAAAGTCGTTTAGGCTACAATGAAAAAGTTGAAAATAGTAATTCTTTTCCTATTCTCTCATTATGAGCTTCCTAAACAGAAAACAGGACTCTCCAAGCCCGAGTGCCAAACAAGAGGAAATCGCACAGCTTCGATCGTGTGTTTGTATACAATTGTGTCGACGGAGTTTAGTAAACGGAAACTATCGTTACTACATTTTAAATTAAGCACAATGCAACTTGCAGGTGTTAGGACACTGTCCCGGAAAATTATTGAACAAAGATATCTTTTTAACACAAGGTTCGTTGACTAGTTAATTTTCATATATTTCATTGTCTGAAATTATAACAATGAAATGGTAACAGTGAGATATGCCGCGTATTTCGAGACAACATTTGTCCTTTCGTTGGCAGTATCATTGAGATCTGTAGCGTGACATGTTAGACTAGCTGTCACAATACAATGGAATACAGATGGGTGTATCATTTTGATTTGTAGTTGACAGTTGGCCTACATGAGGAGCTAGCGCTATTCCAGCATGCATGTGCAAACGAGTGTGAAAGTTGTTATATATACACAGGCCTTATATAAGCATGTATAGACTTACTGTATATATTGAATAGATACCTAATATTGGGTAAAATATAGCAAAATCCTCAAAATGTATTAAAATATTAAATTGCACACCTACAAGGATCACATAAGTTATCAAAATCAAGTGTTACACAGATTAAAACAATTGCGTTTTCTCGATGTAGGCCTATCTTTCAAACTCTGTCTCTAGGCATGGAATGCGACGTTTTAGTTTAGTTATGCGCAGATACTGTACTATGAATGGTATCGATTATGCTTCTGACAATTGGCGAAGACTTCCTTCAACATTACAAAATTAAACAATATTAACTTTCTGTGCTGCAATTTTGCATATCTTTGATGCACGTTTATTTAAAGATGGAGAGCCCATGAAATATTGTATTATACAAGCCAAGATCCGTCCAGTGAACTGTATCGCAGGCATTGTAAATTTAGGTTCGAAACGTAATGAAATATTATTAATTACAATTACTTTATATTAGACATTAAAGGGGAAGGCCTGTATAGAAATCTTGACGTCGTCATCTTAATTGGAGGGACCTGGAAAATCAGACTTACAAATATCGAAAGATAGAGAAAAAAAATACATCCGAATAATCAGTTGAGCAGCTGAGGCGGAGAATTCTGACGACTTCTCGGCTCTATAAATGAAGTTAATTTATCTGTAGAATTTGTGTGAATTATTTATCGTAATGCCTGCTTTTATAGATAAATACACTGGAACCCGATACGGTACTGCACGATTAACAAGAATGTTAAATCATTAATTAACTTTTATTTATCTGAGCCAAAATTTGGATAATTTCGCAATAGGCTTATTTTTGTCATATACCGGTATTGAAGCTAGGAGATGGCAAGATGGGATGTATAGGCCTAAATGAACAATTGTAAACTGAAGACTATAGACATGGCTTGTGTAACACGTCCCTAGAAAGATAGAAGCAGTGCGGCCGCTGTCCTGAAAGAACCTCTTAATTTCCCAATAGAATTCTCTTCACATTTATGTAGTTGACTGGCATATATTAAATTATCTTCTTATATTTGACAGACAACCCTCTGGAACTCTTATGGATACGGCGATTTTATAGTATAATACTCAAATGCTATAAAGCTAGGCCTAACTTGTAACGAAAGGTAGAGACAATGTCAATTATGAAAGATGTCAGTCTGGACACCCTCCCGCCTCTTCACCATCGGAAAATGTCTATATTTTTAAGACAGTCAAGAATGTATACTATAATTTGTTTTCATTGTTTGTAATTGAGATTAAAAGGGAATCTTAAAATCTTTTAACTAGCAATCTATAGTACCGTAATGAAACATCGAAGCGGACACGCAGGGTCTGCCACCCCCTCCAACTCCACCCAGTGGCAATTCTAGAACGGCCCTTTAAGCCTATATCCGAAATTATATCTGACAGAGATCTATAATAATAATAATGTACAATATAAAAATGAAATATCTTAATTGCTCAGACTTGTACCTAATCTATATTAAGAAATACGGTAAGCTTTCTATTGAAAATTAGAACAAGAAACCATAACTTGACGACAAACAGAAACGAAAATAATACAATTTCTTTGAAAAGAGGCTTCATTTAGCTGGTAATCAACTAAAAATATATAATTCGTACCGGTAGTAAAAGTCTAGTACTGAGGCCCAAACTTTTACATCGTAGCAATCAATTTAAGGATTTCCGATTTAAAAGTCTGTAAACCAGTGAAACTGGAATTGTTTCGATAGTCATTGAATTTGATAACTTACTTGATCCCCTTAAATGAGAAATTCAATGTCTAAATCTATTTTTTAGAAAATTGCCTGTATCACCGACAGTGGGCTATTTTTTAAGGCAAAATAGGCTTATTTAGAGTGTGAATAAAATACTAAATTAGTAATTGGTTGGGGCTGATACCGCTAATAGGAGTGGAGCAACGAGTGAGACATACTATGAGCTTAAATGAATTTCCTGCCCAGACGCCTACAAACTTGAAAACATCATTTTTTTTCTCGTTGGTATTGACTATTACTATTCCCAAGTGAGCTTTTGATTGACTGATTTCGTACACCTTTTCTTATACAAAGGTTTACCTATCTCGTCACAAAAAAATATCGTTTAAATCGCCTCCTTGTACTATATAGATTATCTACCTACTTAAAATATTAATTTACCAGATGTAGTTACCTTGATCATTCTTTATAGATATGCCTACGTGTTAATTGATTTTTCGGTTGTGCTGAGTTGTTATCACTTTCAGAAAAAATGCAGGTAGAAAACCCATTTTAGTATACATTTTGCAGATAATAATGCTTCAAAAACAAGTTTGTCAGATTCCCAAATTATAGTTTATAATTTCTTCGTTTACCAGGATAACCCGCGGATAGGCCGATTCTCTACAGGCCTTTAGGCTTGATTTTTGTTTTATATCGTTACAGATGTGTTTAGATACGTTCGATAACCGTTTTATCATCGTACTGACTGCTGTTATTTTACCCTGTTGTTTTTCTTTTGTCCTGTAGAGCCATTTTTTAACAGGCCAGACAGGCGTCCCGTTTTTGAAGGAGAAATAATATTAAGACTGATAGGCCCTATCGGAGATAAGAATGATAATAAAATGAAACTCATCGTGTTCCTGATGACAGAAGCTCAAATCAATCGAGAAAATATAGAAACAGGCCATGTCTAGGCCTTTTAAATTGGTTTTCGAACCAGTAGAGGCTATACACAATGGCGGCGGACAGGACAGCGTTCACTTACACCAAGGTTTTAATTTAAAATTGTTATAAAATATAGATTCTGGAACATTGGCCCTGTGCCTCATGTAAAACATGGATCCGCCCTACCCACCAATTACTTTACCGCCTTAATAACTGTCTGTAAACCAAGTGGGTGTGGTGGCTCGTTCTATTATGCTCGTCCACTAAATAGATAGTAGGCTGCCGTATGAGAAAGTGCGTATCCACACATCAATAATCTTCAATAATCAGATTTACTTAAGCATGTCTTTTTTAATTTCTTATAAGATCTTCCAAAATTTGCCGCGGAGGGAGGGAGGAAAGAAAGGACTGTTCCAATATATTTTCCTACAGAAGCCATGTAAATCATAACTGTAAAATAAACTCAACAACCGGAACACACATCTCATGATCTATACATTTGAAACTGGACAAGTAGCCTACTTCAAGGCACCAAACGGTCTGCAAGTGATCCATGGACACCACTCGACCTAAATTTAGCCTACAGTATACCATAAAGATTGGAAATGAATTTGGTAACGCCTACATAAAATATATATTGTCTCAGGGCCACTTATCCAAATCAACATCATCATTATCTTTAAATTTATGGAAATTATGATTCAGGTTTCTATACAATGATTTGAACAAATATTCGATTTAAAGTTTGGCTGTCATGCATCACCACTGCTATCTGCTAATCTGATTATATTTTACTATGCCTAGCACTTGTATACCATTCTTGTCTTGCCGGCCATACTCGGTTTTTCCAATTTATTACTACTGATTCAATTTTTAAAATATTGCATGCACTGTGCCGAAAGAGGGTGACGTCACTGACAAGGTGTTATAATTTGTTGTGACGTATTATAACAGTTTTAAAGAGCTTTTTAATAAGGCTAAAGACGTGTAGACACAAGATGAAACAAATATATAATAAATATATTTAATTTATCAATTCCACAATCCCACTGCAATTGCATATTCACAGCACCAATCAATTACAAAACGAAAGTCAATAAATATTATTTGGCAAATATTACAAATGTAATGGAAGTCTTATAATACTGTATTAATAGATACCATAAGAAATATATACTTATTTTAGGCCTATATATCAACACGTTATTACACTTCAAGTAGAATTGAAAATCAATGGTTTTGAGAGGATTTATAAATCCTAGGAACATCTTGCTTTAATATGATAACTTATATTGTAAGATTTGGTTGTTGTCCACTTTCGTTTTTTCTGTCCATTAACAAACATGTTGAGAAGCCCATGGATGTTAAAAATAGCAAGTGTGCAGGTAAACACAGATATACACCGCGTTTTTGTGAGTACATATTATTATGCTACATGTGATCATGTGACATCACATTAAACAATAAAATGTTATTGGTGAATGTAAAATGGGATGGTTAAATGCTTCAAATTTATATAATTAGGAAGAAACATACATATCTTATCTTGGCAGATTACAAGGCAGCAGAGGACGTAATAAAAATAAAGAAAAACCTTTATTTTTTTCTAAAATTTCCACTTTTTCATGGCTACGGGTGCGCTAATTGGTCAAATAAAAATTTTATTTTTATTTGAAATCATCAATATTTGCAGTCAGCGGGTTTGCTAGACAAGGTATAAAAAAAGTTTTGCCTAATGATGAGGATGATGTAGATAAAGATGACAAAATAGAGATAATTGGGAATAATGAAATACGATAGGATTAATGAAATGGTGAAAATTAAGGAGATAATAATGAATGGATAATGATGGATTATTGAGTTAATGTGATGAATATAATTAAACTTTGACCCTTCAGTCCATCACCATATTCTGCCGTCAGCATAGGCCGGGTTCGCTGCAGCATATTCGTGTCTTGCTTTCGATGCCGCAAAACTTGTTTCAAGAAGAGCGCGATGCTCTTGGTCTTCAGCATCACGCTGCTTTGACCTTCGCTCCATCTGCTTTGACCTTCGCTCCATCTCTTCTCTACAAAATTAAAACATACTTATGAAAAATATTTTACACTAAATTTTCATAGTAGGTAACACTGAAGAAGATAGTGAGGTATAATAATCACAATGAAAATAATGTAGATATTAATATTAATACAGCATGGATAACAATAATAATTAAATAATACTGTAGTAAAGAAAAAACAATAGCAATAATAACAAAAATATTAATAGTAATAATTATTATATTTATAATAATTATTATATAATAATTATTATAACATAAACCATAATTATAATAATACTAGTAATAATAACTAATAATAATGTTACATCTTCATAATACACTATTATGATGATTACCGTACTAATGAATATAATGACAATTACAATAAGGATAATGATTATGAAAATGGCAATAAAATTAGTACAGTAATTGTAATGATGAAGATGATTTACACTTGCCATACAGCTAAACAATCATGTTGTTAAAAACAAGAGTCATAAGGTATGTGGACTTGACTATGAAAGGCGAATGCCAAAGATAGCTTGCTTTAAAAGGCCAGTGTGGGAAATACCAGCTAGAAACTCAGGTATAAACCCACAGCCAATAAATCAAGTGAAGCCAGACTAGAGTAGGGCATAGGACACCATTATAATATCAAACACAAATTCCAATGATTTGTTTCGATTCCAAAAACCAGCTTAAAATAGCTACATTTTGAAACAATTCAGGAAAACGAAGTAAATCAAAATGTAATAATATACAAATAAACCTGAAACAAAATTTTTAAAACTGAAATTCATTAATTAGTAGTTACTACTAAGCTTAAGACAGGCAATTTTTTTTAGTACTGTTTTTCTTGCTCTGTCTCTTATACACATCTAGATGTGTATAAGAGACAGTATATATACAGTACATTTTATTCGTTAAATTGGTTTTTTTTTCTTTTGTTTTATAATTAATTTATCCAGCCATTCAAATAACCATTCATTTATTTACTTATTCATACATTGATGTACTCAATCATTTAGACCTGTAGGCCTACATAAACACTAGTCCTAATCTAACATAACTTAAACACTTAAACAAGAAAAAATGTAATTATAAATTATATTTTTTTTATATTAATATACGCAAAATCAGCAATTAAAATACTGTAGGGCCTAATTTTTTTTTTTTATTTATTCATTTTGGCATTATTGCCCAGGAGACGCAAAAGCAGGAAACCCACAGTCACCAGAAGGATGTGCAACTTAATACTAAAATATTAAAACATATTAAAACATATTAAAACATAATACCAGTAAGCATCAGCAATATTATTCAATTATTAAAATTGCATCCTTTGTCTCTTTGTAGTGGAGCTGTAGATTAATAGTAAAGTGCTTACCTTCCAATTACAGGATCCTTGGTTCAAATCCTTCTATAAATAATGGCATGGGGATAATGGGAAGGGATGATGAAAAAGTGAGAGGAGCTACCTGCAAAAATGAGCTGATATGAGGTGCTCATCAAATTTCCAGTTGGGGAACTGGGGATTCAAAACTTCGTCTGGGGATGTCATGCCCCCACTTAGATATGCCACTGATCTCCCTATTGAGTTTTAGACTTAACGTGGTCAGTCACACGATATCAGGTGAGGTAGAAAAGAATATCATAATTAAAAAAATGAAACTAAACCTCAAAAGGTGAAAGGTTCAAATGTGTTATGATATTATTATAAACGTTGAAGTGGCAAGTGTATCGCATCTTTGGTTATTAATGTGGGGTCAGCAGACCAATGTTTTACTGTAATAATGTTTACAAGTGCTTTTGTTTAATCTTGAGCATCAATCAAACTTGACCTTTGACATAGCTTCGAGATTTCTGATTCATCTTGCAGGTTTCTGTCTGGCATATTCAATACAATAACAAGAAGGCTGGTAAATGTACTGGCCTAGCTATCATCTGGAGCCCTCGCCTGATAGAATGTCAGGAAGCAAAGGCATTGTTGGCCTTCAGTATTCAATGCCACATTTCAATGTAGACCCCTGATGCTAAAATTACGTCTTACGAGATATTTACTGTTTTGAATATCTTAAGCTGGTGGGTGATAAATCTTGAATAACATGATTTATGTTAACAGCTGTAAATATGTCTTGATCAGTGAAATATTTATAATTGTATTTTACAATTCTTAGGTAAATGTAAATTTTGTCCTATTGTAATTGCTATGAATTTAAATGAATTGTAACGATGGTGTGGTGGTGTGGGGGTAGGAGGGGTAAGGTACAGGGCTAGACTAGAACATTTATACGATTGGGTCCTGTCTATCTTTACACGGTATAATATTTATTTTTATGAGCTTATTTCAGTCCCATTCCTATTTGCTTATGTTTAAAGTATAAATAAGTATAAAATAAATATTTAGCGGAAAGGGAAAAGGAACTGGGTTAGTTGTAAATCAGACAGTGTTTCCCATAGTTATTGGTATTTGAACCTAAATAAAAACAACATCATAAACATGTTTGGTAGAGATGTATTTTACTTACTGTGCTTTATCCCCTATTGCTGCTGTGTCTCCATCAACAATTGCTACATTTAGTCTGGAAATCATGTAGGGTTGGTTAAATAAGCGGGCCTAGTATAAAAACCATATTGAAAAATAAAAATAATTATTTTTAACTATATTAGGGTGACAAGCATAACTGTAATTGGAATAAGAAGACATTATTTCATATGTTATTATAGTAAATATTATCTTATATTCATCAAAAAGTTCACCTGCACCTAGAGGGCAGTATAGTCAATTACATTTCATGATATCTAAACTTGATATGGAAAGTAATATCTACAAAAAAAGAGAAATGGTAAAAACTACAAATGTATAATGCAATCCTTTAGAACAGTAGGACAGGCAACTTGATCCAATTACCTTTAGCTTAACTTAATTTTATATTCCCAGGGAAGTATCTTCAGAACATGTGGCGATGACACATCATATCTAAAGCCCCTATGGGATATTAAGCCAAGGTTTCAAAGCAACAATCGAGAGGTGTGTTCAGTACTCCCTAGAGAGTCCTGACGCTAAAATTTTATAAAGCTTTTTTTTGGCTATCATCACCAGACAACTACAGTGGGACAATACATGCATTACACTTGCGTTGAACATCTGCGTGCAGGATGAAACGGACCATTCAGTGAAAATAATAACTTAATTTTTACCTTTCATTAGTTCGTTGGGCATTAGCCAAACATATTTCTTTCATTTATCAGAAATCAAAGGGCAGCTTAGTTGGTGTTTACCAACACAAGGTGTACCCAAGTTTTCTTGGTCATTTTCATTATTGTTAAACTTGTAATTTAATATTTTATCAAATATATAACAGGGGCGGCACTAGCGGGGGTCCAGGGGGGAAAAGGACCGCCCTTCGGGGACCTCTGGGCCTGTCGGGGAATTTTCAGCAAGTTCGTCGGGGAAAAATCAAATCTTGGGTGCCGAAATTATCCTTTTTAAATAAAGAATCCCATAATTAACACAACATTTTATTATATTTTAATTTTAAAAAATTCCCAGACAGATCTAATTTTTTTATCGACGGGGGTGGGGGATGGGGATAGGCTTCCCCGACAGGAAGGGGGCGTGGACCCACTTGTCGAGGAGCCTGATACATAAGTCTTTTGAGGTTAAAACAAATTGATAATTTAAAAAAATGCTATAAAAACTGGAGATAAGCCTGTCTCTTATACACATCTAGATGTGTATAAGAGACAGGAAGACATTATTTCATATGTTATTATAGTAAATATTATCTTATATTCATCAAAAAGTTCACCTGCACCTAGAGGGCAGTATAGTCAATTACATTTCATGATATCTAAACTTGATATGGAAAGTAATATCTACAGAAAAGAGAAATGGTAAAAACTACAAATGTATAATGCAATCCTTTAGAACAGTAGGACAGGCAACTTGATCCAATTACCTTTAGCTTAACTTAATTTTATATTCCCAGGGAAGTATCTTCAGAACATGTGGCGATGACACATCATATCTAAAGCCCCTATGGGATATTAAGCCAAGGTTTCAAAGCAACAATCGAGAGGTGTGTTCAGTACTCCCTAGAGAGTCCTGACGCTAAAATTTTATAAAGCTTTTTTTTGGCTATCATCACCAGACAACTACAGTGGGACAATACATGCATTACACTTGCGTTGAACATCTGCGTGCAGGATGAAACGGACCATTCAGTGAAAATAATAACTTAATTTTTACCTTTCATTAGTTCGTTGGGCATTAGCCAAACATATTTCTTTCATTTATCAGAAATCAAAGGGCAGCTTAGTTGGTGTTTACCAACACAAGGTGTACCCAAGTTTTCTTGGTCATTTTCATTATTGTTAAACTTGTAATTTAATATTTTATCAAATATATAACAGGGGCGGCACTAGCGGGGGTCCATCGGGGAAAAGGACCGTCCTCCGGGGACCTCTGGACCTGTCGGGGAATTTTCAGCAAGTTCGTCGGGGAAAAATCAAATATCGGGTGCCGAAATTATCCTCTTTAAATAAAGAATCCCATAATTAACACAACATTTTATTACATTTTAATTTTCAAAAAGTGTTAATTTTTCTAAATATTTTGTAATGTGTCTTTTGTATGACATTTATCTTGCAATAGTTTTAATAAACATTGAACTAGGTTTTTTGTACATGTATTCTTTTATTTATTTTCTGAATAAAGCTATTATTGACAATTGGTCTTACCTCTCCTGATTCATATAGTTTGACTGCTTTATCTACAGAATCTGCATCAGACATTAGTACCCAGCATAATCCATTTGGTTTTTTTAAAATTGGATCCTAAGGACGAATTATTAAAGTATAATTTATCATCCGCTTCACACTATAAAAACTGGAGATAAGCTCCAGTCCTCCTAGTGGCTCAGCAAGGATTTACTTACATGAGTACGTACACATTTTTTACAGAAGCACAAAACGTGAACAACTCTACAATATGTACAACTTTTAAATATATTCATAATTAGAAGCTATGATTTATAAATAGAATACTCCATGTGGTATTATTATTATTATTATTATTATTAGATGAAGAATAATCGTCCTGAAGTAACTTTTCTCGAGGCCACAGTTTCCTTGGACTTTTACCTTCATAATGCACACTTCAGTGATAACACAATCAGCTTCACCATCTAGGTCTCCTTCAATCCTATTGGCTGACACACTGGCTGGAAGACCCGCCAAGTAAACTGCACAATCCCTATGCGAGTCAACCTGGAAGATTTACATACAAAGTTTTGTTGATATAGAGGGTGCTATTACTTGACAAAGCTGAAGTAATTTTAAAAAACATACACAAGCAATATTAAATGCCCAAATATTAGCTAATAATAGCTTTGAAATACTCAAAAAGCTGTATCTCATTCACCGTTCCCCACTTTTTCGTCAAACAATTTTTTCTGTCTTAAAAAGATCAAGTTTACAACATATCAAATTTTTTTTCCTTCGGACCCTGACTTGAAAGCTAACAACTTACTTATACAAAGTTAGTACAGTATTGAATTTCATTATTATTATTCTTAAACAGAGAGCTCTATGTTAATTCTAATGACAATGAAATCAAATTTGAGTAGTATTACCTGCAGCCAGGAAGGGACACATGGGTCTTTCCCTTCACCAATAATCAGATTCCATTCTTTTGCTGTTAGGCTAACTTTTTCTACAAATAAAATAATGACACAATGGATAAATAGAACAAGATGGGGTATTTATATTTCTTTCAACATTTTATATAACAAAGTATATAAGAACTAAAATATTAAGTTAAAGAAGGAAAGAAAGATTGCAAGTCTCTTCTAGGAAATGAAGATTAAGAATCCACAAGTGTATAAACAGGTAAACGTCAAGGGTCTTTGGTCAAAGGTTCATTGGCTATGCTCCAAAGAACTGTATTTTAACTTATTTGAAATTGTAAATAAAATAAATAGAAGGCTCTAGAATAGAATTTAAAAAAAATAATAATTGAGACAAAATCTTAGAAATTTTTTAAAATCTATTTGTCATAATTTGACAATGACCTTCTTACCTGATGTTGAGGGTGAATGACCCTTCAAGATCGAACCTAGTACTAACATTTCCTCCAAGCCCAAGTGTGGCCAATAAACTTTACTGTAATCCGTTCTTACAATGGAACTCTCAATGGCTCGACCCATCTCACCCGTCAAGCCACCCAAGTTAGTTAGCAACACTGTCAGATCTTGATGGACAGTAACTAAGGAATTGGTTGCCATCGACACTAGACCATACTCATTTTTCTCGAGTGTATAACCTAAAATTAAATAATATAGTAATTGAATTTGAAAAAAAAAAACATGGAATAAAATCAACATTTAAAGTTAATACTCAAAATGTCAATTTGGATTCTATAATTAAAACATCTTATGCCTGGATGCTGTTAGGGAAAATATTCTGGAAGGAAAGCAACATTTTATATATTTTCAATTCTTTTTTTATTCTAGAAATAAAACTGAATTGAATCTGGGCTAAATAAAAGTAGAGGGCGCTATCACATAATCCCTACCTAATGCTTGAGTAAGTACTGTGAGAATCTCCTCCATATCCTCTTCATCTATTGGATTAGCCTGGCCTTTTAGGTCCAGCAGTCTTAATGAGGAATCAGGTTTCACAGATCCAACTATAGCCCTGAGACCATCAGCACCAATGCTGTTGTTGGATACGAGGAGTGTATGCAATGCGGAACAACTGGAGAGGAGTCTAGAAATATGAGATGCTCCTTCACAAGAAATCTGTAAATTCGAAAGAAAAAAACATTATTTATTCTTATATATTTATTTATTATTTATTTGAAATATTGTGCACTATGCTGATGATGATGATGATGATAATAATCAGTAATTTTATCTAGATAACAATGCTAATTCCTTATATGAATTTTATATATTCATATTTATATTTTAACATTTTTGAATGAAACATAAAAATCACAAACAAGATACCAATATATTACACATATTTAAATAGCCAAAAAAAAAACAGACAAAAAAATATAAATATTATGCAACAATTATTATAATAATTACAACATATAACCAGGGAACAGTGAAATTTCACTGTTTCCTGATATAACAATTAAATGCTAAATGGGTGATATTGGATGGGAATATCTTGTTACAATGGAATAAAAGAAGAAAACAGGATGACATTAAAAGATGTATAGAGAAAGCAAATATTTACGTATATTTACATATTTAAATACATATACAAAGAGCAATGTACTATACTGTCATAACCATGCAACATGCAGCTGTAAATGCAGTACATAGGCCAATATATCCAACATTGGGATAGTCAACTACTAACAGGCACCCACTCCTACTCCTGGGTAGATAGTAGCACAAGTGATAAAATGCCTTGTTCAAAAACACAAGCAACGTAGTAACAAAGGTCACGACCATCGATTGAAAAACACAAAGCCTTACCACTGTACCATAGGCTGATACTTTGCAGGTAGAACTAAAACACATAAGATAACAAAGGGTTTGGTCAAAGATTTGCATCTTTCTTAGAAAAGTAAATTAGCTTGTTCTACACTATCAAGTTGTATGTGTCAAAATTTGATTGTAAATGACATTATGTGTATATTTTCTTGGTCTTGGTGTGATGCTGAGGTTTTTTGCAACTCTTCCTCTAAATTGAGTATTTTTACTTTTCCAGAATGTATATATTATACCCTACACTCATGGGAGAAGAGAGGTGCATGTAAATAAATTGTGATTAACATATCTTACTAAAAAATAAAAAAATCTATCAAAACATCTACCTTGTTATTAGCTATATTAACATATTCTATGGTACATATCTCTTGTGACACGCAGGATTCTACAAATTCTCCAATACTTCTGTCTGTAATCCTATTGGCTGCCAGCTTGAGTGATTTCAACCCCAGACCTGCCCTAAGAGCTAATGTGATTGGCGCTATGTCATCATCATTCAGAGCACAGCCAATCAGAGACAGTGACTCTAAGCTGCTATCTTGACCTGAAAAAAAAAATAAGAAGACAATCATACTAATTTAATAAAATTCAACCAGTTAATACTGCTACACTATTATCTGCAATTACAGAAAGCAACATGCAAACTATTAAAATAAAACAAATTACAACTCAATTATTGATTCTGGTTAAAAATTAGGAGCATACTTTTTTAATAACATCAATGATAATTACAATCGTAATATGTGGCAAAGACAAGCCAAACAAGCCACTTGTCGCAAAAATCAATTTTGAATTATACAGTGTTAACAGTAAAATGAGAGCTATATGAGGAGTTACAAGCATTTAAACAGCTGTTTGAAGAGAAATCAGTCTTCAACGTTCATGATTTCGGGCATTTCTCATGCAAAAACCATAACTAAATCATTAAAAATTGTTGTTTTAACATTGAAAATGGAAAAAATAACAGCATAGCATGATGTATAGATATATAAAGGTTAATTCAGTGCAATAAAATAGATATTTAAAAATGTAGACATTTCAACATGTTTTGGCCAATATCTCTGAAACAGGAATTGCGACGAATGATTGGTTTGGCTTGTCCATGCCACATATTCAAACCAGTTAACTTCCTACCAATAATATAGGACGGTGTGATTTTACTTATTTAGTTATAATTATATGAGTAATCAGCATAATGACATAGACACTGCTACCTTGGGGAAGCAAATAGAATAAAACCCTGATTTCAAACAACCTTTCTTAAATCAAGCTAAAAGAGCTGATTGTTTATGACCTCCCTAGAACATATTTTTATTCAGAATTCCATGATGTGTTCTAGTTCTACTCACCACAAGACAAGATGACCTGGAGTACATCAGAACCAGACAGCTTTTGTCCATCAAGACACAGCGAAGAGATGCCATCTGGCTTGTTCAGGAAAAATGCCAACTGGACCAGATTGGAGGTTGAGATCTGACATTTCCTTACATCTAGGCTCGACAAACAATGGAAATGGGACAAAGCGAATGGTAGATTTTCCGATTCATTTACTCCATAGATGAGTTGATCCAGATTGCTTTTACCACTATCATCTTAACGAAATAATTGTTTTTTAAATGTAAAAAAGTATCAGAAAATATTATAAATTTCTTTGTTTAATTTCGTACACATCATACCGTAAAACCTTATAAAGAGGCCCAATGGGCTTAATCTCGAAAAGGAGCCCATCTCGAATTGAAGCTCCCTCTTTAGTTTGCAAAAGTAACCTTGAAAAGAAGCCCATGCATTTCTTTTCAAGATAGCATGGGCTTCTTTTCAAGATAGTGCAGTATATACACTGTACATGAATTTCAAATAAACAAAATAAATTAAAAACATGCTTCATTTATACAGTCGTTTAGGTGATTTATTGCGGTAAATACACTCCATTATACAGACTGATTTTACAGTGGCCCTATTTATTGTTTTATAGTAGCGATTCCCAAAATTTACATCATTCATTTTGAAAAGAAGCCTCCTCTTTACTTTGCAAAAGTAGCCTAGAAAAAAAAGCCCATCCAAAGGTCGCATTGTGACCTTTTAAGAGTGTCAGTCAAACTTCTATAATGGAATATTTAAGCAGAGTCAATGAAACTTAAGTAATTAATAGTTGATAATAATAGGTTGCCAATTTTACCTGAAGTTAACCGAGCAAATCCTTTAATACGCTCTGATGTTAGTTCACTATTATTAGCAACATTCAACAATTTCAAACCGCTTAAGCATCCAGGCATCGAACCAACTAAAGTCTGGACCATGAAGTCAACTAGCCCACAGTTAGACAGATTCAAGTTCATGAGATTAGATTTTCCAACTTGATTTGTTGTTACATCTATTGAAGGAAAAAAGTCTAAAAATGGAATTTGTAATTTTAAATAATGAATTAAAATCAAACAAGATGAGGTAAAATGTGTTCTATTTACTGGGTATTAACATTATTATAAATTGTTTGTAATTTTAAAGCTGATACCAACTGTGACTTTTATATGTTCTACATTTTCCCTTTCATTTGCTTTCTATAATCAACTGGTTATCTATGTGTAGTATTTACACTTTCACACCAAGCCAAGAGCATACTCACCATCAAATACATTATCAACATTCTTATAAGTTGTATCCTCTAAACTGAGATCTTTTAGGCCGGCATGGTGAATACTAGTAATCAAAAAATGAAGCAAGGCACAGCAGTGAAACATCTGTGTAAAGAAAATTGTTAAAAACTTAAAACACTAAATATTATGAATGATATAAAACAACTACTACTGTTATGTAAGACAAATTGTAATTAATAACAAGTTATGTCAAAATGTGCAACAATTCTCTATGAACATCATGAACATCCCCATTTGTTCGAGCCAAGACAGTAGGACAATGTAAGATTGTGAATATAGTGACAGGGTTAGGCCCTGTTGGGGAATGAGTGTTAAGCCCCCTTCAGAACTATATTGTATTGGGATTTTAACTGATATTTTAGTCTCCAAAATGTACGCATTCTTAAAGGCTAAATTCCCCAGCGGTTCAGGCTCAATACCATCAAAACTATAACAGGCTAATACGAAAAGCTATAAAAGGCACATAATTAGAGAATTGTGTCGAAAGTCGAAACCAAAATGGCATTGAAAAATTGTCGACTTGCAGATTTTTAATTAATGTAAAACACAAAAATTTGGCATGTAAAATCAAATAGACTTAAAAATTATTTGAGTTAGGCAAAATCGACTTTTGCAAGTTTAAATGTACAAGAAAAATAGTACAGAAAATGACAAACAGACTAAGATTAAAATTACTGTATAAAATTAAAGATTGAGTATTCCTATGAACATGATTATGTAAAGCAAAAAAATAATTTCAGAGAAAATTCCTTTTCAGTACTGTGTCAAGTATAGCGTATAAAAATTAAGGTGAAAATGGATGGAGATTGTGTCTAAGAATAATAAATATACATACCTGATTTCCACCGATATTAAGTTTGGTGAGGGCGGTGTTGACTTCTAATGACTTCTGCACTTCCTGCATCCCTTCTGCACTGATGTTTGTAGCTTTTACATTTAAGATACTTATGCTTAAGGAATTCTTTAAAAAATATGAAAAAAAAGTTAATCACAAAAAGTATAAGCAAAATTGAAATAAATGTAAAGCAAAATCTTATACAGCCAAAAATGGAAACAACCTTTTGAACATTATTTAACTATTAATTTTACTTACAGATATCATCACTGCAAGCTTTTCTCCAAATTCTGTTCCATCAACCATGTGATTATGGCTGATGTCCAATTCAACAAGTGAGCTGTTTGTCGACAAGCTATCAATCAGCAGGGATAAATCAGCAAATCCACAGCTAGCGCACCTGAATAAAAAATATACACATTTGAAATCATACAGATTTACTATACTATAATAAATTATTTCAAAAATCTAAGCCATTTGTGTAAAATTCATAGACATTGAATAGGCTTACAGTTACAAACATCATACACTGTCTTGGTTTAGAATAACAAATGATCACCTTAAAACTGTTAATTGTTTATTACCTTAAAACTTTTAATGTTGAATTTAAAGCCATGGCTGGACCAACACTTCTAGAGAAGAAGTCTCTCCCTAATTGGTTACTGGAGAGATCTAATTCCTCTAATGTATCATTCTTTGCCAACATCATTCCAAGACACTCCTATAAAAATGAAATACAAGAAAACTATATCACATAGAGCAGTTAAAAATTGTATCTATTATAATATTTCAACAATATTATGTGAGGGTAATCTTTTCAACTCTGTGGAGTTCATCATTATGTCTCTCAGTATAATGAGCATAATAACAAACTTTAATATAAACAGCATAATTACTACTAATTTATAACTCAAATATCAGTAAAAATTATCAGGCCTTATTGAAATTATAATTAATTTATTAAATAAATAAATTAAAGTCATATATTAAGAATAATAGCAATTAATGGTAGCAAAATATTTGTTTAAGATTTCCTCTTTTTTAATGTTTTATATATTTATACATTGATGAGAAGGAAATAAATGTTGAAATTTATTATTATTATTAAAAGCAATAACCTTACTGAGCATTGTGTATCTGTTTTGTTATTAGACAGATTCAGTGACTTAAGTGTCTTGTTGTTCAACAAAGCTAGAACAATAGCACGGAATGATTGAGGCCCAATATGGTTTCCTGATAGATCCAGTACCTACAAAAATGAGGGAAAAACATTACTGTAAACAGTGTTAATACTGTTAAAATTTCTATCTTCATTCCAGTAAGAAATAATTACTACAAAACAAGTCTCTTGTTCCTTGAGTTATCTGTCAAATATTAAATGTAAGCTTTGGTTGCAGTTAGGTTCGATAAAATAAAAATAAAAATCAGTTAAGTAGTCATATAGACAAAATGTACTTTACTGGTGATCTCAAACAATTTTGAAAAGTAGCTTACAAAGTCAAAACCACTAGAAGTAGCCTGCACAGTGGATGTAGTGTGTCACGGTGCAAATTCCTTAGTTACCAAACTTCTTGAAAAGATCAATTGACTTAAATTTACCTTCAATTTACCAATGTTAGCCAGAATATGTGTAAAGATATCAATACTGCATGGAAGTGCCCGCTCAAGACAAAGTTCAGTTATTTTGGGAGTTGCTATTGCTTTTAGAGCATCTGGATCAACAAGCCTACAGAAAGCCCTGATCGCCTGATTGAATTTAATCTGATCGTCTGTATCTCTTGGTTCCTGTGAGGGCGCTTCTTCAGTGGAAACATCAATGAAAGTTGGAGGGGCTTCACCAAGATCACCATTCACTTGGATTGGAATTTCACCACTAATTTTGGGTGATGAAGCAACACCAGTCACTGTCAATAATTCTGCTTCATTGCTGTCATCAGGAACTGTAGATGTTAACGCATTAAAACTCTCCAGATCAACTTGATCAACCGGATTCATCTCTTCTTCATGATGTTCAATTTGAAGAGCTTCCTTGGATCCTCTTTGTGCTTGAAGTACATTGTCTTTCATTTTAACAGGTTTTTCATTCTGTGTGCTAGTCTCTTCATGTATTCCCTGATCTTGTATGTGGATAATCTGAACAGGGAAGACATCAACATTGAGTTCACTGGATTTCATCTCTTCACTTGTGTCTTCAGTGATTTCATCCATAAGGTTTGATGCTGTTGTGGCAATCTCCACATCAGCAATAATCTCAACAACACCACCAATTGCTGTGGCAGTGACCGAGCTTACCTCACTATTTGCATCATCAGGAGCTTCGTCCTTAACACTAGCTTGGTAGGTTTCAACATCATGTAGACAATTTTGAGAATCTGTGTCTTTGGTAGTATCTTCATTCTGTGTGACTTCTTTGAGTTCCTCATTATCACCTGGCTTTGATAATGGCTTTTCCTGCTCTGGTTGTGATTCTTGAAAAAGATTGTTGTTTATATCTTTATTAGGTGTTTCATCATTAAACACCTGCACAGGTGTTACTTCATCTTCCCCTGCATTAGTTGATCCAGTTTTCTCTGTACAAGGCTCAGCACTACCCTCTGGTGTTACATCCTTCGATTCCTTCCCTTTATCAACATCCTGTGACCTGATCACTTTCTTGTCTTCTGGTTCAAGCTCAGAGGTCTGAATTGGTGTCTCTTTTACATCAAGGTGATTTTCTTTGCTCCTTCTGCTATGTGCACTTCTTTCATCATTTCTTGATTCCTTTCGTTTATTACCTGTACTCTTTGATGAACCCTGTCTATATCCCTGAATATTCAAGACATTGCTCTTAGAAACTTGTGAAGGTATGACTTGCTGCGTTTGTGATTTTGACCCTCCACACCCCATTGCATCCACTTCCTGAAATAAAAAATTACAGTACATGCATTAAATGTCTCTCCTGAAGATGACATAATTAATGTCGAAATATTGAATCCCGACACGATGGTGTGCATTTCGATACTTGGAGTATGTATTATACTATCCTATCTGAGATTAATCAGTGGATGTTTCGGTTTTAAATGTCTCTCATCTCTAAATATATATCATTTGTTATAAAACATTGAAAAACTTTAAATATTTATTTTAAAAACATAGGCCTTTTTCACGCTGCGGTAGACATCTTCGATCGATGACAAACAGTGCTGAGCATCGAAGCGTAAACAATAGAAATAACAAAGTGTTTCAACCATATTTTCGGAGGTCGTGTTACTTAAAAAATCATAAATCCTCAACGGAGGGCCGTGTCAACATAAATTTGTCATTAAAATGTTCGCAAAAGATATATCTACCTACCTAATCTGTCAAAACTTAACTGGAAAATGGAAGACCAATTTTGTGTAGTGTTAACACTATTATTTCACTGTTCGACCGATATTATTTAGCGTGCCGGCCATATTTTTCGGAGGTCATGTTACTTAAAGAATCATAACTCCTTAACGGAGGGTCGTATCAACATAATTTTTCCTTTCAAGTGTTCACAAAGAATATATCTAAGTACTGTATGAGTAACAAAAAAATTAAAATTTGTTTAGTCTGTCAAAACTTAATTGAAATAATAGCAACATGCACTGTACAAAATCGGTTTTCTATTTTCCAGTTAAGTTTTTTTTATTCATACAGTAAGTAGATACTGTATATCCTTTGCGAAACATTTTAAAGCAAAAAAATATGTTGACACGACCCTCTGTTAGGATATATGATTTTTTGAGTAACATGACCTCCGAAAATATGGCTATGTTATTTCTGTTGGTTACGCTACACTGCTTAGCATTGTTTGTCATCGATCAAAGATGTCTACCGCAGCGTGAAAAAGGCCTATTAAATAGCTCATTTAGTAAGTGAACAAAATGTTGTCTGATGATTGACTGGGCCTAGCCAATGTACAAATGTTTGTTAATTGATGCACATGTTTTCTCATCATTATTCATACTAAATTTCATATTAATTAAAGAAAGTAATTCAAGTAAGTAGGAATATGAATTAATTTTAAGCAATTTGTAAACTTCAACAATTTTTAGATTTTGGATGTGTGCATTATAATAGCCTAGCTAGGTAGGTAGCGCTACACTCTACTAAAACCATAGGCCCAGCCCTCTACTCTAGCTAGGTTCATGACTGGGCCTAGAGTAGATGTATGTGTGCCTAATCTATGTATGTATATGCATGCAAGATTAGGCCTCTAGGCCCCTACTAGTACCTAGAGGGTAAGTAGTAGTACAGTAGGCCTAGAGTAGTAGGCCTATCTTAAATAAGGCTAGTAGGCTATAGTAGTACCACTACCAGTTTACTCCCTAGGCCTAGACGACAGAAAACACCAGTTTTACACGAGAAAAAGCTACCCATTAGTTTTTGACTAGTTTCAAAGTTTTTTAACAAAGTAGCGTACACTCAGTACTTGGCCCTAGCCCACATTTGAGCCTATCCATCAATCAAACAATCAATCAAGCATCTTGTTGCCAAACAACAAATATGCTGCCCTCAACCATCAATCTTCCGAAAACTGTAGTCGTCATATCCAGCAACCGGAAGTAATATTCAAATTTGATTGGCTGAAACAAAGCCGGGTAATTTTGAAACGACGCATATCAACAGATAGGGTTGAAATCTAGCGTAATCTAAATTGTCCATAAAATCGAATTTCATAGCTTTTATTACGTAAGATTTTTACATACTGCTTCCTGAAAATGAAGCCAACGTAAGTAATAATTTTTATGTAAAAATTTGTGATAAACATTTTGTAAAAACAATTTCATTCACGTTGTTCCCTGCCGCTTAGTTTAGGCCCAGGCCTAGGCCCTAGCCTCTGCCTAGCGTGGCTGACACTGACAGCTTTCCCAGCTAGGTAGGCCTGGCCCCACCTAGGTAGCCTAGATAGGCGTGTGTATGATTGGCCTAGCTTAGGACCTTAGGTACTCTAGGGCCTGCTAGCAGCTAGAGCATGAACCTCGCTTCTTAGGCTTACCACTTAGCCTGGAATGATTACTTACAGTGAGGTGCTTGCTCTTCTAATTCTAACTTGGCTCTTAATTAGTTAGGCCTATTTATAAGTATAATAATTTTTACTCTTTCTTTTTTTTCCTTTCTGGCTCTCCTTTATCCAGCCGTGGCAAGACACCAAAGAAGCCACCACGGAGACTTGTCAACAAGGACAAAGATCCTGTTGAGGTTTGTGAATTAGGTTAGGCCTAGGCCTATTTCTTTAATAAATATTATTAATAATGATAATTTAGCTAGCCTAACTAGGCTATACAACCCTTCTAGTTGCAATTGCATGAAAATATTGATCATGTCTTGATGAATGATTCTAATGACAATACGCAGCTGTATATTTTTGTGTCTGGTGGTGTAAAAATTTCCCTGTTTTGCTTGTTTTAATTGAGAAATTACAATTAAACGACATAAAAGAATTTTTACACTACTACACATAAACAGGTTTACTGCAGAATCCGACCACCAGATGGGGATGCTGACACATGCATTGAAGTTGTAAACAGCACAACCATCCAGTTGAAAGCACCAGAGAATTCCCATGCTTACAGAAATGGACTCTTAAAGGAGGTATGTTATATGTAGAAATTTCAGCATTGACCACACTGGTGGAAAATGTAATAAAACTCAAATGGTTCAAGTTTTATTTCAAAATAAAGAAGACATTAGTATAAATGACATGCTAGTCGGGTAAACTTGGATGTTAAACTTGGCATTGAAGAAATATTGTCATTGATAATTAAAAACAAATAATTTACATACTTTAACATGAATACTGTATCTTGTAAATTGTGTGCCAGAGAATAGGAATAATAATGTATGCACTGTTAACTAAAGATGAAAATGCTTCCTTTATTTTGTCAATTTAAAGCTAATAATTTGATATGCAGGAAAGAAAGCCAAAAAGCTTTGAATATTCTTTTCTGTTTGCACAGTGATGACAATTGCTTTTTCTATTTGTTTCTGATTTATTTAGAATCAATATACATTTAAGTTTGTTTTTCCTGTGAACACCTCACAAAAGGCATTATTTGACCGTGTCTCATTGCCTCTCATTGATGACTTGTTGCATGGAAGAAATGGTGAGTTAAATGTTTCCTTTATTCTGTTTAAAATGGATTTACATTCTGTTAAATACTATATCTTGAATTGGAGGATATTAATTATATTAATTATGATCCAAAGCTTTTCAAACTACAGATTCTCTTACATATTTCTTCTTTTTTCTTCAGGATTGCTCTTCATGTATGGAATTACTGGATCGGGAAAGACACACACAATGCAAGGAACACCAGGAGATGGTGGGATCCTGCCAAGGGCCCTGGATGTGCTATTCAACAGCATTGGAGAGCTTCAAGCTAAGAAATATGTAAGTTTAAAAGATAACATTTATATGAATTTATTGGTGTCATTAGTTATTGTATATCGCCATGTTTGCCTCTACAGCTATTATGTGAAAGATGCAAAGTACTTCATAGACAAATTTAATATACTCTTTTATACTATTATTACTATATACTTTTTCAACACATAGACTTCTTCAGATGGTAATCTTTCTAAAAAGCAATTTTGGGAGAGTATGTAATAGAAAAAAAGAATTGTTTATTCGAATTAACAACACAGTTACTAATCACTAGCAGCATTGCATTTACTGGCAAACCATACCAAAGGAAGTAGACTCTCCCCCAGACACTAGTTTAGTAGCAGAATGCACAATGAATTTTTTTTAATAAGTCAATTAAATAGAATATGTATGAAATTAGCCAATTGAAAGTATAGTAGTAATAAACCAATCATCATATAGAAGAAATGTGTATGGAATTATTGGCTTAAGTAGAGTATCTGTGTAAACAAATAAATAAGTCAAGTATATTAACAAGATAAAAAATGTAAACTCCAATTATAGTGCAGTTATTCTTGGTAATGTGATAATAAATCCTCAATCAATGCTCCACACTGGTCCAATTTAGTGATTTTATTTTGTACTCTGTCTCCTACCCATTTTGTTTTTAAGGTTTTGTGTACAAGTTATGTACAGTACTAGAAAATGTGTTAATTTTAGATCCATTTTTTCACCATGTTCCACAATATTTTTGTCCTCATTATCTCTCAGGTTTTCCACCCGGATCTATGTAATTGTATGGATGTTCAAACAGAGGCAGATGCCATGATGGAGCGACAGAAACGTGAGCTAATGGCACCGCTGAAGACGCCTTCTACACCAGCAACACCCAGGAGCAGGTAGGTGAAACATTTTTCAACAGGTTTAAGGCTCTCATATTACATTAATTTCGAGTTTTACAAAGAAAACAACTGCAACAGATACACTTATACTTGAATACTACCATATAAAACAAATTTATTATATTATGAAATTACTTGAGTTCAAAACAAGGGATTCATGCAAAATCTCTGTCATGACTCTAAAAAGAGAACAAAGAAGGCAAGTCAATTACATGGCAACAAATACATAACATTTCTTTGAATGTAAAAACAGACAAAGATAATTGTTATCCATATTTTTTATATTATTTTAAATGTATATATTTATGCCTTATATGGAATATTGATGAATGTTTTTCCTCCTTCGGTAGTAGGAAAAATGACCTAGCAAACATGGTACGAGTGCCAGACACAACAAGTATCAGCAACGTTGATGAGGACAACAACTATGCAGTGTTTGTTTCCTACATTGAAATCTACAACAATTACATATATGACTTGCTGGAGGAGGCTCCTGTAGATCCTATCATGACACCAAAGTAAGACTAAATGTTATTGCAAATATTCCATGATGTAATACTTCCACATTATATTTATTTTCTTCATAAAATGTTATTTGTAATTTGTCTTATTATATGAGGTGCTAATTGTTTATTAATTATTTATCAAAACTGAATGAGTACACATATAGGTGGTGCTGATTGTTTACGAATTATTTACCGAAATTGAATAAGTACACAGGTATATGTAGGAGTAATGATTTGTGGTCAGCACATGTTTATTAAACTCACTAGCTACTCAGATAGACATTAGTTGCCTTACTTTGACTTTCCTTAATACTGTTTAATTATTATTATTTGTTCCACAAATGTTTAAAAATTAATTTCTTTCCAAATTTTTCCCTTTTCCTGTTTGTTCTGCAGGAGTTCGCATGGACTGGGAGCCAATGCCATGTATGTACGGTGTTCCGTTATGCATGTGGTATCAAAATAATTTTAAGTTTACAAGATATATACAGTAATACTAATTTTATTATAATCAATAAAGGTGATGATTATCAATAAATATAAATAAATTAACTGTAATTTATAAATTATCTGATGAGATAAAAAAAAAATTGAATTTATTTTCTTATTTTGTATGATCACTAAATTTATGATTTAACAAGGAAGCATGTGAAAAATGTTTACTGTGCATTGCAAAGCTTTAACAAAATAAATTGATATTTAAAAAAAAAACACCAGCTAAAGAGTAAAGTGAACATTCTCATCATTCACAAGTTTTGAATTATGTATCTTCACTGTGATGCATAATTCATGAGCACAATGAGCAAACCTGGTGCATGATGGGAACTACTTTACAATTTTGGTAAATGAAACAATTCTAAAAACAATCTGTGCTAATAACAGAACAGAAAGTGGACGAAATGCCCTACTGTGGTAAAGTTTAAAAGTTCAGTTTTTCTTATTTTTGAACTGTTGTTAATGTAAATTTTACATAACTTTGGTAAAGTTCTAAATTAAATATGAAATTGAGCAATTTTATTTTCTAAAGTTTTGTAGTTATCATCAAACAGTACACTTTAAGGTTTATAATGGTTTGTTTGTTTATGATTATCTAAAGTTTTTGTTTAAAACTTCATTCTTTATATTCCTTATTCTTCTCTTAACTCTGCATTATTACAACTAATTTTGTGTTCTGCAACTGTTCAATTTATGTTTTGCTAACTACTTCTTTGCTATCTATCAGTTTCCATTTTTTTATTTCAGGGTTGTCTATAGAAAACTAATGGTTGGTAGGCATTTTAAGGGTGGGTGGATGGGTGATAACATTTGTAAAATAATAAGAGTGGATTTTAAGAATGGGCAAAGGGGTTAAGAAAGGTGGGTGGAGGGCCATGAGATTAGCCAAGGACTACATCCCTGTTATTTCTTCTTTTTTTTTTTCTTTTTTTTTATTGTGTTTGGCATCAGCTTTGGATCATATACGGTACTGTACTTCAGCATGTGCTCTCATTGTTATCAGTTTATTTCTGTTTGGCAACTAGAAAACATCCAATTCCCTAGACGAGACTTTTTTTACTCTTCGTTTCGCAAACTTTGTTTTATAAAGATTGTCAGAGGTGGGCGAAAAAAAAAAATAAATAAAATTTTGTTTTTTTGTTTAGCAAATAGTTTTAAACATCCTCACAGAGGATAAAAAAATATAATTTCATTGTTGAATGTAAACATTGTAGTAATGGGATGGTTAAAATGCTTTAAATTTATATAAATAGGAAGAAATATACATACTTTATTTTTGGAGATTTTAAGGCAGTGGTGGGTGTAAAAAAATAAAGAAAAACTTTATATTTTTCCTGAAATTTCCAGTTTTTGTGGTGGCGGGTGTACTAATTGGCCAAAAATAAAATTTTACTTTTACTCTAAATTATAAATAATGGAGGGTGGCAGGTTCGCGAAACAAGGTATAAATAAAGTCTTGCCTCAGTCAAGTTATCCCAACATATAGTTTGGGACTACAATATTATTAATGCTACTGTATATCATTAAATTTCATAGATAAAATGGCTAATAATATTAATTGATCTGGTAGAAAACTAGAAACTCATTTGACAACTAATGATAACATTGTCAAATGTATTTATTACAAATGAAAAGTAGGTATTACTACAGTATTAGCCATTCATGAACCCCAATTAGATAATTCTTCATACAACCGTAGATTATTGTTATCTAAATTTAGCAGTATAGTTAAATCATTTTGAAATTTGGTTAGAAAATAGGTGGTTGATAATGACAGTCTTAGTCAGAAAATCCAAAATATCAAAATAAATATGTGAGTTGCTTAATTTGTATTGTATAAACATAGCCGGACAAGAATACAGTACTGCACTCATCTACGAATGAACTATCCTACTTTTTATCTGATTGGATAAAAAGTTGCATGAGGTTGGCATGGAAACTGTCTGTTACACATGTACATTAAAATTCAAAATATTTTTCTCTATCATCCGTAGATCGTTGCCGTCTAAGACACTTCGTGAAGATGCTAGCCACAACATGTATGTTGCTGGCTGTACGGAGGTTGAGGTGAAAAGCACAGATGAAGCGTATGCCGTCTTCATGAAAGGTAACTGAAAACATACAGAACACAAGTACAATAAATTGAATGAGTCGGCAGGAACACAAAAGCAAACTTAATCACTATAACACAAAGTCTGTGAACCTCATTCATTATAATGAAATAAAACAAAATACAGGAAGCAATAATCTATGTTTGTGGAATAAAAAAATAAATATATAACAAAATATGTAATCATTGATCAGATACCATTTTAACTTTAAAGAAATTCAGTCTAAAAAAATACATATAAAATTAATTAAATATAATTTTAAAAAATTAAGATTACAACAATACATAACAGCACTCCTCAACAATACTTTTTTGGAAGCAGTTTAAGCTCCCAACATTGGGGTTGGTGGTTCGAATTATGATTCCTATTTGAACAAAACAAAAAGCCTGTTTTCGAAAGACACCAGGTATTACATGATAACTGATTGGATTACACGATTCCCTCCAAAAACAGAAAACTCATATACCAAGATACCATTATTATCTTTGTCTTCAACAGGACAGAAGAGGAGACGAGTAGCTCACACACAACTCAACACGGAGTCTAGCCGATCTCACAGCGTGTTCAACATCAGGTTGGTTCAGGCACCCTTGGACCCTTTGGGAGAGGAGGTCTTGCAGGACAAGAACCAAATCTGTATCAGCCAGTTATCATTGGTCGATTTAGCCGGTAGCGAACGAACAAATCGTACAAAGAATTCCGGGGATAGGTTGCGAGAGGCTGGTAACATCAATGCATCATTGATGACTTTAAGGACTTGTATAGACATGCTTCGTGACAATCAGAAAAATGGAACTAGCAAGGTAATTGGCAATATAAAAAATACTAGCAACGTTAAGATATATGTTCTATAACATTTGGTTTTTTTTTATTGTATGATTTTACATAAATTCACATGATGTCGTCGATTTAAAACTAATTTTAATTTATTAAGTTGTTAGGTGGATAAATTATGAGTTCCAGTCTTACTAACTGAATGCTTACAGAATAAAGTTTTATTTGAGTTCACTAACAATTTGATTTTCGTCTTAACAGATTGTACCATACAGAGACTCAAAGGTCACTCACCTGTTTAAGAATTATTTTGACGGGGAAGGTAAAGTGCGGATGATCGTCTGCGTCAATCCACAGTCTTCAGACTATGATGAGACCATAGTAAGTGTCCTGCTTATCTATATTAAAGCCATTTCACACTGTTAGCTCTACTCTCTATAATAGTTAGTGTAAAGCTAGCCAATCACTGCATTTGTCGACTGAAGCGATTCTCTGAAGAAGGCAATTCAACAAAAGGATGCACATCTTGGGACATCAAAGGTTATAACTCTGGCATCGACATGTGCGATGGTTACAAAGGCCTAATGATATTTTGCACTAACATTAGATTGAAATTATATTCTTCATTTTAACATACCGAAATTGTGGTGTATTGTCGTTCATGAGACTCATTTTGCAGAAAAAATTAATAATAAATGTTCTGTATCTACTCAAATGTTTGTTTTGTGCACCTTAGTCCAACATTGTCAAAATGACAGTTTAATGTTACATAATAACATGGAATTTTATAAAATTCGTAAATTTTCAATTGCTATACATTTTTTTGGTCAATTTTTTACAAATCAAATTGCAGTTAATAGAAGCATTTAACAAGCTCTTGGTCAAAAGAAATCAGATGTAACAGACATTGCGAAGTACCCAAAATTAATAAAATAGTAACTAACACCATAAAACGTATGGCACGCATAGACTAATAATTGGCGGCTGTACTCGCAACTAGTATCGGATTGTCGATGCCACAGTAAAGATCAAAGGACTGTACGCATGCGCTATGTCCAAGAGCGGAGATGAATTACCTTGCTCTAAAGAATGCCACTACGTGTCCGCAACAAACTGTTTATAATGATGATTTGTTTAAACTGCCACCATCCATCACTAGACGGCGTTATCTAGCACTTGCATTTGGCGCAGTGAGTCCCCAGGTAAAAACAAACACAATTTGGATGTAGAAATAATAAGCTGCGGCATAGCTGAATGATTTTCACTTGCTTAACAACACAGGATACATGGCTCTTACTTTAAACTCTGCTGTTGTATGAAGGCTAAGATTTTATATATATATGTGTGTGGGTGTGTGTGTGTGTATAGGTAGTGTTACTGGAGAGGATAGCACAATGCATGCATTTCAAAATGCCTTTAAGTAACAGTTGATAAATGATGCTCTTTTACCTACAGCATGTGATGCGATTCTCTGAAGCTACGCAAGAGGTCCAAATAACTAGGGCGACAGATATCAAGTTTGATATTGGCTTAACTCCTGGACGAAGAAGAGGTAAGTGCCAAAAGCTTTTGTATTCTGTGTTTAAGTTTCCAGAATTATGCTTTTGTTAAAAAGGATTAAATTTAATGATTTTCTAAATGTCTTTTCAAAACATATTAAGTTATTAGTTACATCCCAGTTGTGAAACTGTTAGTAATTGATGTTCTGAATAATTTAAGCGCGGGGTAACAATAAATTAAGATGACGGGTTGTAAAAGATTATTTCGAGTCGAGTGACAAAGCTTCTTATGACACAGAAGATACATGCATCTTGGCTAGATGAAATCCAATCAACCGTTTTTTTTTGGTTTTTTTTACTACTCTTCTGTGATTTTGCTTGTGTTCATTAAACCTTTATTTTTCTATGTTCTCAGCTCATCAGATCTACAGGAAGATGGTTGAAGAGGGCTTAAATGAGGACGATGTGCCTGTCCCACCTCCCATGATAACCCTTGGGCCACCCTTCCCATTCTTTGAGGTAAGCGTGAACTTTAAATGTATAAATACTTATGTTTACTGATGTGAAGATCATAGAGAGGCCATTTATATAAATAACACATTATTATCTCAATCTCCACCCCTGCCCCCTCAATAACACCTGGAGCCCAGCAAAGTATTTCAACAGTGCTATGGCCATTTTCCTCCCGACCTCCTTGTTTTTGTTGATGTTTAACCATTTATCTGACAATTTCATTTTGTATATCTTGGTTGTGTCACTGCTTACTACTTTCCATTTGATTCCTCTTGTTTTAATTTTCACCTTTTTTTTTTTTTTTAGATTAATGATCCAGAAGACACATCTATTCAGAATTTGATTGGGTTCCTTGTGGAGCGAGAGAAACGTAGAAACACACTTAATAAGGAACTAAAAAGACTAAGTAAGTTTATGTATGTTGTTTGTAAGTTTATATTGTTATTAAGGTCTTTGTTTCAACTCTTGTTATTCTGAAATAAATTATTTTGAATTTCAATAAATTGGTAATTTTTATTATGTATTTGTTTTATATTGCTTAAATTTATTGCTTCATATAAGTAGTTATTGTATTGTATTTTTGACACAATATATATATTTTTTTTTTACAGTGGGTTCCTTTCGAACTCAGGTTTTGGATTTGGAGAATGAGGTTCAAACATTACGACAACAGAACTCACAGCTTCAAAGCCAAGCAGATTCCCAAAGCAAAGAAATCAACAGATACCAAGCTAAACTCAAAGAGAAAGAGGCACAAAATGGTATGCTTCACCGCACACACCAGCTGTACGAAGAGGACAGAAGAGGTCTACAAACAGAAGTATGTATTTCCTAATAAACCAATTAATTTTTCCTCTTTACGAATGTCCTTTAATAACGTCCTAATAATTCAACCAATTACGGTAAATTTTAATTATTTAATTGTGAACGTTTGTATCAAACCTAGGAAGGATAGATAGCCACAGCCTATAATATAGGTTTTTAATAATTCATTCAAAACCCAAGATGCTAAAACCACTTAGTGTTGAGCAAACACTAAAAGGAACAAATTCAATATTTGCGTTACTTACTTTGTATGTTAACACGAATGGCATTACCTTTCATTGGAAAATATGAGTGAGAAATATTTACATCTGAACATCTTGCAAATGACCAACAACATCCCTGCAAAGTTTCGGTAGGAGATTCTGCAAGGAGATAAAGTATATGCCTTCTGTTTCTACTAAATTAAAAATGTTCCAACAGAAAAAATATCTTTCCTATTAATATAC